CTTATATCCATTGTATTGAATCCAGAGTGTTGAAGAAGGATGTGGTGTACCTTGCGGTCCTCTTCCGTTGGCGTGTCGCTGAACCGCGCAAAGCCGGGCAGCTCACCATCGCAGATCTTCCAACTCAAGAGGAACGCGTCGCCGACGTTCTTGTTGGCCATGCCGTAGTAGTGGTGCGTCCCGCTGTGCATGATGTGACCGAGCTTGTTGACGTAGACCATGACCTCTTCTTGAAGGCACTCGGTCGTATCTGTAAACTGGCGGATGTCGCAAAAGCCGTAAATGGACGTGATCTTCTTCCCCGGTAACATGGGGTCGAGGTCGCCGATGCCCATGTTCTTGCCAATGATGTCGCCGCCGGCAGCGCCAAACCCGACTTGCATCAAGCCCGAAATCTTGCCCAAGGTGGCTTCAAGCACGGCAGTCTCAAAGCCTTGCTCCTTGGCAAACTCTTGCTGCTCGCTGCCGATGCTGAGGTGCTGACCGAGCGGCGATTCGGCGAGCTGCGTGATCGTCGCCATCTACACTTCGTGAGCGGAATGATGTTGCGTCTACTACGTTGTACCATGCGCTCGATGGGGTTGAGGACGATGATGCGGGCGACGTGGACGAACGAGAGCGACGCGATGACGAGGACACCCAGGATAAAGACCGTCCGGTAGAGGCTCGAGATGGCTGTCGCTTTGGCCACTTTGGCAATGTCAAACCAGACCACCGACTCGCACGACATGGACGTGAGCACGGGGTCGGCTACAATGTCCGACCCATTCCACGCCGCAAAGCAGCCAGTGGATGTGATGGACCGAAGCTCGTTGACGCGGTACTTTTCGAGGACCGCAGCTTGGGACGGCAAGATCTTGGCAATCTGGGCGGTCGAGACGTCCGTCCTTGGAAACGAGAACGACGTGAAGAGCCGCCCGAGCTTGTCGCCAGTGATGTTGTGGAGCGTGAGGTACACGACGTCGTCTGTCGTGTAGTAGAACCAACTCTACACACATCCAGGACCGTAACCAACACTATTCTAGCCAACGATTCAAGGTGAAAGTACCCCAAAGGTGTTGAGAAAGATCGGGCTCAGGGACACATCCGTTGGCGTCGTCGTCATTTGATGGATCAAGTCAAAGCCGCGCGACTCGAAGAGGTTGAACGGCTCGTTGTAGCCGCCGTCAAAAGCCGGGAGCACAAAGCACAGGAAGAGCACGATCATGACAACGCGGCGCGTGGTCATTTCGGCCATGCGGCCGCCGGTTTTGCTCTCGACAATGACCAAGTCCGACTCTTCGGTGCTGTGCTTCCACTTGATAAGCTTGACGATGCGGACGAGCCGGATGACGCGGACGACACGGACGATGCGTCCGGCCTTGGCGCCGGCTTGAGAGACGCTCGAAACCGTATCGGCGTCGGTCAGCGGGCTCCAGATGAACCCAATGTCGGGCAGAAGCGAGAAGGTGGCGACGACGTCGAGGTAAAAGTAGAACGAGAGGAGGTAGCCCGGTTTGCACCGGCACGAGAGACCAAACTCTATAAGGAAGAGGAGGAGGCAGAGGAACGCGACGACGTAGAAGCCCATGTCGGCGCTCTTGCTAAAGAAAGCCGCTCGAAAGTCGTCGGCGAAGAGGCAGTAGAGCGTGATGACGCTCATCAGACCCGCAAACGACTTGTTCTCGAGGAGCGCCATACCGCGGCGCTGGAACGCCGTGATGGGCGCGATCGTGCCTTCCGGATGCACCTTGGACTTGCTTGGGTTGGGCAGCAGCCGGTGCGACGTGCCCTTGGGCGCAAGGTTGACGACCGTGCCCGACATGGCCATCGTCGGCAGCGCCTTTGTGAGCGAGTTGGTGTTGCGAGTGTGCGCGCGCGAGATCCCGTCGGGTTTGTTGTCGGGGGAGATCTTGCGCATCGCCAGATCCGCAGTTGACGGGGCAGTTTCGAGCCCAAGCATTCAAAAATGATTCTAAATCGGGCCAGAAAGGCGCCAAGAGGTAGTATCTGGTTTCATTCCGGCCCTTGAAAAAATAGATTTTGAGTTTGAGTCAACGGTTTTGAGGGATGACACTATTTACCCACATCTCCATTGAGCTAGTGCGGGCGCCAGTGTCGAATCGAGCCATGCCGAATGCCATCCAACAATATTTAGATGCAGTGGGCAGCGCGACGACCGAGCAACGCACTGTTCCGCGCGCTTCGTCGTGGATCCAATTCACACGATTTCAAGTGAAATGACATACGCTATTTCTTGTCTTTTGCACACTATACAGACATAGATCACTCTATTTCTGTGATATCCATGGATTTGGATACTAATTACGGTGGTGAGCATTCGACAAGATGCTGGCCTCTGCCCGGCGGTCCATGTACACGCCGTCGGCCTTTCGCGAGGTGGGCACGGCGCGCGTGCACGAGATCCTCGCTCGCTACCCGTTCGCGACGCTCCTCGTGCCGCAGGCTGACGGCGAGAGCCCGCTCGTGAGCCACATCCCGCTGCTGCACGCAGACAACGAGCTCCACGGACACGTCGCCAAGGTCAACGCCATCGCGCGCCTCGAGGGCAGCGTGCGCGCGCTCGCCATCTTCCATGGCCCGAACGCGTACGTCTCGCCGTCATGGTACGAGACCAAGCAGGCCACGGGCAAAGCCGTGCCGACGTGGAACTACATTGCGGTGCATGTCCACGGGTCGCTGCGCGTCGAGAAGGACCGCGACTGGATTCTGCAAAACGTGAGCGCGCTCTCGGACACGCACGAGGCGGCGATGGAGGCGCCGTGGCGCGTGGACGACGCGCCGACCGCGTACATCGACACGCTGCTTCGGAGCATCGTCGGGCTGCGTCTCTCGATCGACTCGATCGAGAGCCAATTCAAGCTCAGCCAAAACAAACAGGCCGGCGACTTTTCGGCGTCATCGACGGGCTGCGATCGACGCCCAACCACGCCGGCGGCAACGACGTCGCAGCGTGGATGGAGCGCGTTAAAGACGAGATCCGCAAGTAGCTTCTTCCTCGCAACACTTAAAAACACGATTTGAACACTGTTTACAAGCTCTACTCTGCTCCTCTGCCCGACGCCTGCACCTTGGTTCCGTTGCTCTGGACGCCGTGGCAGCGACCGTGACCCGGTGGGTGGAGGAGGGCGTGGAGGAGCTGCAGCTGAAATTGCCAAGACGTGGATTCGATGGAGATGTACCAACGCCCACGATTTTAATTGGCTAAAATCCAAACCCACGCGGTCATTCATTGGGTGCAAATGGATGTACATCACGATGCCATTGGTCCATTTTCTTGACGCCATGGCACAGCCCGACCTGGCAAACCGTCCGCGGCTCGTGTACAAGGAGTCGCTCATCCTCGGCGTTGGCATCGGCCTCTTCGTACAAGAGAGCGTGGGCGCAGGAGAGACCGGGCCGCTGCCCGCCCTAGCGCAGCCGGTCGAGTTGCTCGCCGCCAGCGACGTCGATGCTCCGTCCTGCGAGGTGCGCGAGTCGTTGATTGCAGGCGTCGGACAGGCTCTCTTCGCCGTGGCCGCCCTCGTAGTCGGCGATGTCGTATCTGGCAAGAGAGTGCGCAAGGCCGCCGACGTCAAGAAGGCTGGAAAGCGCACCCTTGACGTCAAGCCAGAGGGACATAAACCAACGCCGCGAGCCGCCAAGGCGGCCAAGAGGAAAGCACAACCAACGGTGCAGATTGACTCGGAGCCAGCGGCCTCGGCGCCCGTCACGATCAACGCGTCCGCCGCTCCTCCACCACAGCGACGTCTCTTGACACTGGACGACACCGAGCAGCGCCGCCGGCATGGAACCCCGACGATCGTCGTGCGTGAGAGCTTGATTGCTGGCGTGGGCTGTGGCGCATTTGCGGCCGACGACTTTGAATTGGGCGACGTCCTCGGGGCTCTGGACGAGGCCGAGGAACCTCGGAACGAACCGTTCAACACCTTGTTTGCTACCGCCACCGCTCCAAGTGACGCCCATGTGCTCGGCAACTGGACGCAGCTGACGTCAGCATCCCAGATGCAGGCGGCCTACCGCGCCATGCGCCGGCGATCGGACGTGCCCAACACCGGGTGGCTGCGCCTCACCAAGAAGCAGCTGCTGTGGCTTCTCGAAAACGATGCTGACGACACGGTTTTAAACGTGCCGCTGTCGATCAAGAGCCTCGCGCCGCGCGTCGATAGCGAACGAGATGTGTAATATGTATTCAAGTAACCTTTGCCTGGACTCGTTTCGATATATACCTGTATATATATATTTGTACATTCACGGCTCAGTAGCCGTCGAGCTCGCGGACGCCTTCCCAGTTCTTTGGCGAGTCGAAGTCAAAGCTCTTCATGTAGTCCATGACGTGCGACACGGGACCGTCGCCCGGCCGCAGCTCGAGGGCTTGGGTGAGCGCCACTTTGGCGCCGCGCCAGTCGCCCTCGAGGTAGAGCTCCACGCCGTTGGAGGCTGCTTCGAGAAAGGCGGGGTCCAGACCCTCTCGGATCTCCTTGTACTCGGGGTCGTTCTCAAAGTCCACGGGCACCTGCACTTCTTTGCCCCGTTTATCGAGTTCAAACCTAAGATTCGACTCTCAGACCGGAAGCTGTTGAGTTTGAGTTTGGTACTTTGGCGTCGCAAACCCCGGTTTGGGGTTGGTCACGTCAAACGTGTAAACTGTCAGCGGCGTGTCCACGCTACTCGACCCGATTCATTTCATTCTCGTCCACTCCATCAAAATGACGCACCCTCGAATGCGGATTCGGTCCATCTTGCGCAGAAACTTGCGCGCCGCCGGAGACAGCAGCGCGTACAACCAGTGGCTGATGTTGACGGGCGTCTTGAAGATCTTGGACCCGGCCTCGAGACGGTCCGCCATCTCGACGTGCGGCGAGATGTACGTCGCATCAATCTTGAAACGTGATCCGATCGCACCTTCGATCGCCCACCCACGTGCATGCCAAAGCCCATGCG